TAGGAAGTATTTTGCAGAAGCCTGCAGGGCTTGGTTCAGATTTTCTCATTTCTTAGTCACTGGATAATGTTTATTTTTGGAAAGATCTTTGCTTTTCCTGCAGGGTAGGTGGAATCCTTCCTGCGATACTCTGCTGTCTCGCGGCGTAAGTGCTGTAGCCTCACTGCGAACAGTGCAGGTCTGGCTCTGCAGGAACGAGCAAATGGGAAGGCATCTTTCTTTTGCAGGAGAAAATGGTCTCGTTTAAAAGATGCCTGGCAATTACACTCAATTATATTTTAAAAACTTTGTTCAATATATCAGACAACTCAGTGCCTCAATTCGACCTCACTTGAAGGCAGGATTGAAGTCTCAGGCTTTTTAATTCATGTAGCAAGATCAAGAAAAGCTTACTTTTGATCAAAGCAGGAGCAGCCCAACTGCAGATGATCAAAGACCTAAGAGTTAGCTGGTATGCTGGGAAACCAAGTCTGTCTCTCAGTAGCGAGCTCAACAAGCTGCTCAGCTGGAAGTGGGGTTGCAATGGGAGACATGAAGGTTAGAAATGGAGAAAGTCTCAAGTTTGTAAAAAATGGAAAATTACAGAGCGAATAGCATCTCATTTCTGGGCATTCAGTACTGAGAGCCATAAAAAAAGAGTCCGCTCTGAGCACTTGCAGCTTGTGTGGTGCTCAGATGCAGGAACTGATCCTGGAAAAATGTTGTGAATTTAAAAGCTGCAATTCACCTGAATGGACTTAGAGCTGTAAGTTGTGTGTAGTGCGTGGTACCCCGGGAAAAGGCAATCCCGCTTGCAACTGTGCAGTTTGTTGTGATTCAGTTATAGTTGTGTTCCCTGTTGTAAGAATCATGAATTCTTGCTTTGGCTTTCCTGTAGACTTGTGATCTTTGACGGGTAAAACTTATTTAGATTTCAGCAGGGGAAGTGAAGGCAGTAGAGGGAGAGGACATTCTGGCGGTGACATATCAACTCCATTTTATGGATATAAAACATGACTGTCATTCTCGTAAAACTGAAAACCAGCCCTTTTCTGTAGCAAAAGGAGTAGCGCAGTCAGGTTTGTCACATCACTAATCAAGAGCATAAATCAAAATAAACTGCACTACACCCTTGCTTCTTAGCTGGGTATCAGACTGAGGAAGGTGATGGGGAGGACAGCTTCCATTTGTCTAATTAAGTGTTCTGACAGGCAAATGTATCTTCGTTCACAGGGAACTACATGGTTTAGAGTGGGAGTTAATAGGCAGAAGCAGCACTGAGAGCCCAGGGAGTGGGTGAGACTGATGATTCCTCTGGGAGAGCGCGGTGGGCTGGTCTCCAAACACTCCCAGCAGGACCAGACCCTGCTGAGCAGAGGAGCTGGGTTTCAAGAACATCCGCGGGGGCTGAGGGAACCCGTGTTCCTTGTGCTAGAGGCCGGTGTTGCGCAAAAGCTGTAGTCTGGGAAAGTACGATGTGAAGCACTTCTGCGGGAAGAGGTTGGCCAATGCTCCAGGGAGCTGCCTCTGCTAATATGCCTCGGTGTTTGTAGCAGGAGGGGGATTGCTGTGAAGTAAATACAATAGCGTGAACACTCCTGGGAGAAAGGAAACTTTTTTTTTTTAAGTCTATTGACCAGATACTCTCTTGCAAATTCCTTAGTGCTGTTGTAGCACCATTAATGCTTGCAACCTCAGTGCTGCAGCATCAGTAGCACTGACACTGAAGAGGCGTACTGTCTGGCTGGCTGCTTCAGATGGGGTTCAGGGCTTATGAATGGCAGCCCAGATGATGATTATTCAGCAGCTCAGGCATGATGAGTTAGTTTCAAGCGAGCTCACCCCATGGCCAGTAGCATCTTCTCCCCACTCGATGCGAAAGTGACACCACCATCGGTATCCCCTGCCTTTGCTGCAGGAGGTACGTATGTGTCCCACCAGCAGTGTGTCATCCAGCCTGTTTATTGGGTCCTCCCTCTGCGCTTCCACAAGGTGCCAAGTGGTGAATTTGACACTACCAGTGACTCTGCTGGAAAAGCTGGAGCTATTGTGAGAGTTAGGGGCTTGCAGCACAGTCCTGTGCTTTTCGAAGCTGTAGGCTAACGGGAATAGCTCTCCTACAAATACAATGCTGCCTCATGGATTTCCTTTTAGAGCCAGATGTGGTTTACTTTTTACCTAATCCTCTCCTCCTTACCCTTTGTCCTCTTTGGTAACACATCCATTTTAATGTCTATTTTTGGTTTGTGGATTGGGTAAACAGGCAATGATCAAAGGGAATGGCTGAGACTCAGGAAGTTTCATCTCAGTTTCATAAAATGACATCTTTGTCTCCAGTGCCGTGGGCTGAAGCCAGCTTTCCCCTGCAGGGGTGTTCGCACGTGATAGGATGTGTTGTTTGACGGCTGAGTTGCAGTTTTCTAACTTAGCTGCAGAGCCAAAAGTGCGCAGGAAAGATCAAGATAACTGTTAATCTAGATTTTTGCCATTCTTATCTGTCCTGAGGCACATACAAGATACTGAAATCCAGTGTTAGGGGAAAGGCAAGGATGAGGCCGATAGCCATTGCTATCCCCCTTATGCCCAAAGAGGTAGAAGTGTAACGTGCTGAGTGTTGCGTGGGGATCTATACCTGCCTCCAGCTATTGTGTAGAACAAGCACATTCATGGTCCCAGTTTCGTCTGACTCAAAGAACCAAAGTAAAGAATGGATACTGCAAAATACAGTAAGAAAAAGGAGGATTGCAGAAGGATGAAAAAGTTGTCTGGGCTGGTAGTCAGAGGGGACTCCTTCACTGCAGTAAATTGATGTGTGCATCAAGAAGTCCTATGGTGTTGGCTCCACAGAGAGAGACTGCAGTTTGGTTTTGGAAAGTTATCTGTGGTATATCCATATAGGGCTTTGGCCTGGTGCAGCCAGGTGAGCTCTTAATCCAATTTCAGTTGGAGCAGCTTACAAAATGCACACGTTGCTCAGCTCCAGCTCAACACACCAATCATGCAGGACATGTGCCAGTGCAATGATTTCAGCTACTCTTTAGTAAAGGCTGAATGTCCAGGTGAATGACTGAGTTGGAAGGAGAGCCCAAGCCTTTTGGTGAGAGACCAGGTGAAGGTTCATGTTACATGAACTTTATCTCCCTTCTGGAGGCTGAGGAAGGCTTTTCCCAGATTTGTCTGGAGGGCTTTAAATACATAATTCCCTCTACAAAACATAAAAATGTATTTGTTGCCTTGAAGACTATGCAAACACATTTCCAAATAGTCACATTTTTTAAAGATTGCTGAGCTATTGTTTTTTTTCTAGCTGTAGTCAATTTACTTCTTTATTAGGAATTCATCATGTTCTCCCCCCCACTTCTAGGCATGGCCTTCTTCCTTTCAGTCTCAAGGTTTGTTCCTCTCCCTGGATCACCGAAATGGTTGGTTTGGGATTTGGCAAAGCTGAGGTGGTGAAAACCTCAGGGACAGGTGAAGGAAACACTTCCTAAAGCAGCATTTGACAGGGTAGAACTGTCCCCACACAGTAGCAGATTGCTTTGGGAAGCTCTTGGGCTTTTTCCAGTTGCATACTATAGTCCCTTTCCCCCTTCTATAGTTTTATCTCTTCTCCGCTTTATCAGATTGAGTGCTGGATGTACTTACAAGGCAAAATTCAGAAGCTGTTTGGTTTTAGATGCTTCTGGCCTTTGGAGGCCCTGTTGGAGATAACCGGAGATGTTGTTTTCTGGACAATCTCCCTTTCTACAATTCCCCTGGGAGGTGTGAACGCTTGGCACTTCTCCAGAAGAGATCAAACCTTGGATCTCCCAAAATTTTGATACTAACTATGAACATGAACCGCTAAGGAAACTAAGAAGGCTTTCCTACTTAAGGATTATATATTCAGAACTGAACAGACATTCAGATCAAACGTAAAAATTGATGTTATTTTAAAATGACACAAACCCGAAATATTACATTTCCATTGATAGTTTAAATAAACTAGGAATCTTGTATTTTTCTTTCATATTGAAAATTAAAAAGATAGTTTGGAGTTACAGCCTCATGAATTCTGATTTTAAAGGATCCATAAAAATAACTTGCTCTAGCCTTGGTCATAATACCTATTCCTCCAGGTCGTCTGCTAGGATTTCTTCATTATGCTCATAGCTGCTATATGGGTGGGCGCAGTTCTTAGGTATTAGGTTTTAATACAGACTTCTGATGCTAAGTGGTGAAACTGACAGAGAGCTTGTTTTAAACTCTAAATTTTTCCTGTTCTTTCAATACAGTCTCATTGAATTCACTGGCCAGCCAGGGCTTTCTCTCGCCCCTAAACATGAGTATCTATCATTGTGTTTTCCTTTCAGTCCAGTCTGATGGCTAAGGTGGAAGAATTTAACAAAAAAGTAAATATTTATGTCTATATTTTAATTAAGAATAGCACTGCCATTTGTGAGGTGTCTGAGCATTCAAATCCTTTTGTTTTCAAAACCATCTCAATTTTTTTGAGAACAAAATCCTATCTCCCTTCCTCTCTGAATATACAAAAGAGTAAATCACAATGAAAAGCTCAGTTGTGTAGAGCCATGCAGCAGTCTCCACAGAGAAGACGCAACCTTCAGCACTTTGCTTTCCACCTAAGCAAAATTTAAGGTAACTGGGTTTTAAGCTCTCATCACATTCAGACACCTAAAGGGTGGAAACAGTGTTCTTTAAGTGATCAGTGCTTTTACCCTGACTTTCAGTGGCATCTACCTTGTGCTGACTGCTGGACAGGGTAGATGATCCTTGTTAATGTCTACAAGATAGATGAACTCTTGTAGAGATGGACAAACTGGACATGGATGGCTGTTCTACTGTTAGCAACAACATCTGTGCTTTCCTGTGAAGTAATAACCTGATTATGGCCAGACAGCATAGTCTCAAGTTAAGCAGAAATCATAAATGACAACTTTAAGCAAATTTCCATTGATGTGTAAGATAAGTATTCCAGTCTAAGGCTTATTTATAACCTTTTTTTTCTTGTCCTTCTTCAGGTATTTTGAGTTTTATGAAGGGCCTTTGGAATACAACTCTACGAAATGCCTGGAATTGCGGCAAGACATCATCGAGGTGAAGGTTTTGTCTATGTAAGTATGAATGAATGTTTGCTAAAAGACTACTTTTCAGTCAGGATGAAAACAATAACCTACAATAAGATTGTCAGACATGCAAGACTCAATAGATCCCATCAATAGGGATCTCATCAGGGATTCCTGAGGTTCTCTAGTATAGAGCCACAGAATAGAATCATAGAATCATTTGGGTTGGAAGAGACCTTTAAGATCATTGAGTCCAACTGCCAAGTTACCACTAAACCATATCCCTCGGCACTACACCTACACGTCTTTTAAATACCTCCAGTGGTGGTGACTCAACCACTTCCCTGGGCAGCCTGTTCCAATGCTTGATATGTTCAAGTAGCGACATTTGAATTTGATCTGAGGTCCATTTGAAAAAAATGGAAGCTTTTCATGTAGATTGAGGGATTTTGGTCAGGTTCAGTATCACTATTTTGGAATTAAATACAGTGTCTGTAATGTTATTTGTAATATTATATTCCATGTCTTCTACTCAGGGTAACTGAAGAGTAATAACAGCCAGACTGACTCACAGCAAGTGTCCATCTAGCTTAAAGTTCTATCATTGATAATGGCCAGTATGAAGGCTAAGAAATGAAGCAAAAATGTCAGCCCTTCCTCATAACAAATGCTGGCATGGGGGCTTGCTCAGTGGTAGGTAGTGACCAGACTACAGTAGTCACAGGGGACAATAGACCTCTCTGTTAATTTCTGAACCCATTACTACTTTTGACCTCCACAATTCCCTGCAGCAGTGAGTTTTGCAAGTTAATAACACTCACTAAAAAGTAGGAAAATGCATTTCTGAGAAATAATAAAATATCTATATCTTGTCTTTTGTGGTCCAATATGTACGTCAGAAAGCTAATGAGTTGAATGAGATGTATCTGTGAAACCACAGAGATGAAATCAGGCAAAAAAGTGAGGTTGCCAATGAAGCTCATCGGACAGTGAAAAGCAGGGTATTTTTGCGTTCCCTTTTGCATTTTCAGTATGGCGCTGAATTTAGTTGCCCAGATTATGCCTAATCCCTTACTGTATCTAAAACCAATGGTTTAGTAATCTTACTGACAACCCACAGGGCTTATTAAGGTCTGTAAAGCGCACTGAGAATCTCAACTGAAAGTGCAGCTATACAAGTGTATACCATTAAGCAATCAAGGCTACAGCAAATACAATTTCTTGCTTCGGGTCTGCATGAATTTTGAGCATGTCTCCCTCGCTGACTTTGTGCACAGAAAAATGTAGGTTATGTCCTTGTCTTCTGTGTTTGATACCGGGTGAAGGATACACAAGTAACAACTTTGCACTGCTTGCTGACTTGCAGTGCTTAAAAATAAATAGAAGGGGTGAGAATGTGACACTTCTGCCAATGTTCTGCTGAAGATGGGGAGTTTTGTATTGCTTTTCTGCATACTTATCAGATGGTACAGAGAATTACTCATTTCCCTTCATCTTATCCAATGGCACATAGAAGATAGTGGACTCCTACTCAGCTGGATAGAGTTAGCCTTACTTTTACGGTAAGATGCCATTTGACATGAAGGTTTTTTACTATGTGGGCTTCTTCTGATGTGCTTGCTTCTAATGCGCTACGTTTCCTAAGTCAGCCCTTACGGTAATGGAAGACTTCCAAGTTAATGTGCTCTGGTGGGCTACAGAAAGTACAATATGACCTAATTCCTTCCTGTAATTTCCACAGCCTGGGAAATCCTAAGTTCTACTCACTTTAAATATATAATTATTTTAAAAGTCTTTGCTTTATTCAAACATTCAAAGCCCTCAAGCCTGAAGATAACTCATTAAGACCTATCAGTCTTGAAGAAATCTCAGACTTAAAAATTTTCCGGCCAGATTATGACATTGCTCCTGGCTCTAGATATTTGCAAGGCCTTTGTTACCTCTGTTGTCCAAATACGGAAGAGTATGTATGAAGTCTAAGGCAGAAGTGATTGGAATTGATGATATCACCAAAAATGTGTCATCCTGTATCAGCCTAGTGGAAGCAGGAGTGTCATTTTTTGATATAACTAAAAGTATATTTATTAACAGAGAGGGAGGAAGAGATCATTATGTAAAGAGCTTTTCATATCTTTTTACCGTCACAGATGCTTGTCCGTACACATGTCCTATTGCAGTTTATAAAATGGATTTTCCAACAGTGCTGTTCTGTAGGTTCTCATGGTTTAATGTACCCTCACCAAAATATAGTGGCACTTGGCCAAATTATCTGAACTATCCTCATTTCCAGTCCCCTCTCTGCTGGCCCGTCTGCTAGGTGCAACTTTTTCCCCCCAAAGCCGCTGTAGCTGCTAGGCACTCATTAGCTTCCCAGTGGACAGACTTTAGTTCAGTAGATGCTTCTTGCTCAATATTGCATTTTTCATCCCGAAGAAACGGAGAATGCCTACCGGGGAGTAGAAATCAGTCCCAAATAGCTGAAGAGCTCAATCAGTACCTGTGTATACATGGCTTGGGGTTGCTATGTCTGAGCAGAAAAAGAAATAAAAATGATAAATTTTGCACTGACTGGTTTGCCCTATCAAAAGGCTACTGCATGGTACCCTGGCTGCAGCTGTTTTAGGAAATGAAGTCCTTGTAGTAAAGTTATATTTTTTCTTTCTTTTTATCTTTTAGGGTGAAACAAACTGAATTGTTTGACAGATGGAAGAGCCTACAGATGTGCAAATGGGAGATGAATGTAACAGAAGCAAATTTATTCAAGTAAGAATGGTCCACATTAATGAGACTGAGTAAGATTTACTTTAGTTTGAGTTTAGCTTCCTGTAGAGAGATTAAATCTTCATATGGATAGCAAGAGTAAGCATTATAACACTGTTACTGTTGGAGTACCATCCTTTTGAATAAAAGTGGACTTTTTTCTAATTTAAAAATGTCAACATCAAGAGTGAGAGAGAGCTCTTCTGGCACGTGGGACAATCTTTCCAGGAAAGGCAAGGAATTTGGTACGGGAAAGACTTTTCCAGGTATGATTCAGGCAGATATAATGATGGAGCCAAGACTTAATGACTGCACCTACTATATCAGCCTAACTCTCTGGTGGTGTAAAAGGATCATGTCATTGGTGACACTGAAAATTTGGCCTACAAAATACTCAGACTGGATTTTTTCTGTGGTGTATTATGTACTGTCAGACCGTGTTTCTCACTTCACTTTTTTAATGGCTTCTCAGCTATTACTCTCCGACTAGATATTTTTTCTAGTCTTCGGACACCTCTGTGGTTTGTTTCTGTAGTACTCTGTCTTTCTTCATGTGAATTCCTCTTTGCTGAAGGTCCTCCATGGTCCTTTCAAGATACAACTTTTGACATTAGTCTTGTGAAGGCAATAGTAGAATGAAGCCAAAACAGTATTTGAATTTTCTGTATTAGTGTATTCAAGGCCCATATTTGGGTAGGTCTAGAGAAGCCACATTATTTCCGAGTAAGTGGAATATAGACTGGTTAAGTCTGTAAGTCACTGGCATGATTCAGAGCTGTTGTTTAGAATAAGGCCCCACAACTTTCTCCCAAATTCTCTTGCATGACTCCAGGAAATAGCTGTCACGAGTTGATGAGAGAATGTGAGAATGCATGTGCTGAGTTAGTCATTAACATCTTTAAAAATAACTAATTGTTAATCCCAGGCTTATACCAGTTTTTCCAAGGTATTTTAGGTTTTTTTTTTAGTATATTTTTTTCTGGAAATTACTGAATGGGCAATTATCAGAGCCCATTTTGAAGACAAGAGCCATTCAAGATTAGAGCCCTCTATCTTAAAGACTGCTTGGAGTAAGAGAACTAATGATTGTGTCCAGAGTTCATGTACCACATTGAAGTATGGAGGCTAGCCCAGAGGTGGGAGCAATGAGAAGGGACTATCTAAAGACCATCACTATCAGGCCACCAACACCAACACATTAAGCAAAGAAAGAACTCCTCTCCATCCTAGACAGTGCATTGAGAGAAAAAAGACGAAAGACGGGTCGCTGGCTATAGCTGCCGGACTGATATATCACTGCTTAGGAAACTCCCACTGGAACCTAGACGTAACCTAACCTTTGTTAGCTGGTTCCTGGAACAATAATCATGCTAGCCGTGAAAAAAAAAAATAGTTCAAAGTCTGTTTCATTTTTGTCTTACAGGACAGAGACTTCAGTGTGTGAATGTGCAGGGAAACTGTAGTCCTTTAAAAGCAGACCAGAGTCTCTGAGTTTGGAGGAGGCTAAAAGGAGGTGGTCTAACAACACTGAGTTGTGGGCTTTCAAACTTTGTCAGCTATGGACCAGCAGGTGACATGGGGAGAATCCAGCAAAAGTTAAATGGCCGCTACTTCAGCAGCAGGGAGGGAGGAGGCACAAAAAAAATCACACTAGCTTTTGTCTCTGGAGACTAAGAAAAATAATTTCCTTGACAGTCTTCTTCCATTATATACCAGATATTTACATTAAGGAACATGTCTCTGGAACACTAGTTGGACATTAGATTAAAGAACTTTTTCAATTCCTTAATGCAGAACTAACGAAGAGTTTTTTCATATCTCAAATATTACAATTCAATCCCACTACCTCCTTGTAATTATTTAATGATTTAGTTATTAGAAATTATTCATTGACTTATTCAGTCTCAATTGCTGCCTCGATCTGATCATCATATTGTGTCATTCTGCATGAGTCAAGTATATAACAGTAATTGGACATCACTGAAACATTTGCATAATTCTGTATTTGCTCTCTGGTGCTCATAATAAAGCCCATAAAGAAGACTGACTTATTCGTCCAGCTCATAATAAGGCCACATACCCGAGAGGTAAGGTGTAAGGTGTTTAATCTAGGTTATTTGAGAGCTACTTGGCTCTGTCTTCATGTTTGTGCATTTGCCGTGACATGTATTTTTCATTATAGGTGTAAGATGCGTTGACTGAGAAACAAACTGGCTCTGCATTAAGAGTAGGCTGAAGTCAGGGCTTTCAGTTCCGCCAGTAAAAGGAGCAAAGCATTCAGGGAAGGATGGGAACTAAGAAATGAAGCCCTAATTGAAAAGCTGCTTTTCCTATTTACATTTCATATCACAGCTGCATGGGTTTTCTCTCATGCTAAGAATCCCATTTTTGAGATTTCAAAAGTTCTTGTTCAGATTGGAATACCTGCCACTTTGGCCATTTGTCTGAGCCATGACCAGTCTCCCTGGCACCCATCTGTTGGGGCCACATCGTCTTTCTGATGCTCGTGTGCAAGGTCAAAGGCAAAACTAGCACCTTTAAAAGTTTCTTTGTAATCAAAGTGTGTCATGCTCCACGGTAGTCTGGTAAGTGGGGTAGTGTCTTTAGGTATTGCTGTGTTTAAGTTCCTGCCCTACCAAGCTTCCACATCCCCAGATGAATAATTTAACCCCTGTGTTTCCTGCCCAGTGCTGAGTAAATAATTTACAAGAAGTAGAAGACCTCTAAAGCGGAGAGGGACTAATTCATTAGGATGGTTTTCCCAGGATACTGGGGGCAGAAGCTCAGCTTCTGTGCCTGGAGCAGGGCAGAATTTGCACATGTATTTCCTGCAGCCTAGAAGAGACAGGTACAGGGATGTCATTGAATCTGAAATTTTCTAAAGGAAAATCCAGCAAACCACTGTTTTACCCCTCCTACAGCTTAAAAGTTTATTTTTGCTGAAAAATGCCTTGTTAGGAGTAACAGAAATTGCAAATCCTAAAGCATGCCATCAGCTCCTTGATCTTATTTCTCTCTTTTTCGTTTTACAGGTCTACTTTGTCGAGGTGTTGCAATGCCCCTGCCTATCTGTTCACCACTCAGAAAAATACTCCCTTGGGAACTAAACTGAAATATGAAGTGGATACTAGTGGAATCTTCCATATCAATCAAGAAATCTTCAAAATGTTCCCAAAGGTGCCTCATGTCTCTGTCTGTTTGCAGAACTAACTTCACTCTACTTGCTGCATTAGATGCTATCCTATAGCCAAGCATTTAGCAGTTGGCTGTTTGACATTTCTACAAACTTCATTGCTTATACTTTGAAATTTATTTCTTTTAATGTGATATTTTAGCTGATTATTCTGTTTTCTAGTGGATATCTGCTCTGGTATGCAATATATATATTCTCCTGTAGAATATTACTGACCTAGCAGCAAAGTGGCTAATGAATAACTTAAGAAAGCTGAATAAAAGACTTACTGATCAGAACTTTTTAAAGTACAATAGTCACATACAATAAATCCAACATCTGGGTCTGCTGTTTTAGGGGCATGATTATTTTACAGTTCATATTCACAACAACTGAGTATTTTTATACTTATTACTGTTTGGAGATTATCTGTGAACAGGCTGCAAAATTTTCAAATATATTAATCATAGTGATCATTCAAAACCTTTTCAGCAAATAATCCTTGACCTGAGGGCCATTCACATTTACAACCAGTGGGCAATTCCCATTGCACATAGTCACTGATGTGCAGAAATGGGCTTATGTGACTACTGATTCGTCATGAGGTACCCCTTGTGAATTTAAAATGGCATGTTTGGAGAGGATAACTGAAATTTATCCCTTTCAGAAAGTCAGAAAAACATTCAAGTTAAGTACTTAGATTTGTGTCATTATAGTTGTCCTTCAGGGTATAACCACTTTTAATCCGTTTGCTTTCGGAGCACTAAGAGGTAGGGTAGGGCTGTTACCTGGACGTGCACATGGGCAACTGGGGCAGAGCAGGGGAAGGGCTCAGACCCAGGAAAGCACTTTGGCATCCGGAGACATGCAAAGAGCGGGTGCGTGTAATTCCAGAAATATTATCCTCAACACCCTGCCTGACTGAGCAGATGAATACATCAAAGACTAGATGGCTATGCTTTTTCTAGGAGTGTCTTATAGCCGCTGTTGTATTTATCCAGGTACTCCCTGAGGATGCTTTGCAGGCATTCACTGGGCAGCAGCTATGTGGCCAAAGCCACCCTCTGCCTAGGAGCAGGGCTGCAGCATGGCAAATGTAGGAGATAAAGGGCTGAAAGGACGGGAGCAAGACTGTAAGGGCAAAAGACTTGTGCCGAGTGCGGAGACCTTGCTGCTGATCTGCCTTTCAGGACTGCTGAGGCATTTTGTGTTTAGAAATCTCTGGATAAAGCACAGACAACTCTATAATGCCTCTCTGTTAGACAGCTGCTGCTGTTCTCAGACAGGTGTAATTGCATGCCCTTTTGCCTCATGCCTTATGAATGCTGTGGAACGATCCTGGGAATAATCACCTAGAAATGTCATGCTGCTATCGCATCTCTCTGTAGTTTGCGGTATGAAATTATTGATAAAATATGTATGTACCAAAACGAGCGCTCTCATGCTTATATAAGCCCATCTCTCCATATTCATAAGGTGTAGCGCGTCTCAGTTCTGCGTCACAACCCTCTCACCCTAACGGCCCAGTTCTGCTCTTGGAGACGTGATTTCCACTCTCTCTGGCTTCAGCAGCAGCTGCATGTCTGCATGTGCAGACAGGATTTTGCCCACAGATTACAGAAAGATGCATCCTACACAAGTCCAAAAAGGTGCCTGACCAACGGCTCTAGGCACTGCTGGTAGTACAAGTGCTGATTTCTAGTCACAGAATCACAGAATGGTCAGGGTTGGAAGGGCCCTCTGGAGCTCCCCCAGTCCCACCCCCTGCCAGAGCAGGGGCACCTCCAGTAGTGACACAGGACGGCGTCCAGGCGGGTTTGGGATGGCTCCAGAGTGAGAGACTCCCCCACCTCTCTGGGCAGCCTGTGCCACTGCTCTGCCACCCTTACA